GTCTTTTTAGCTCTCTTGCCAAAATTAAAACTCGTGAGCTATAAATATTGCGCCTTAATAGCGTGGTGATTTAATCTTGTTTACACTCCCCCTTCCCCCTTTCGTGATTGGCGTTAATTTTATTACTGTACTGCAAATCCACCTAGTCGGTTTAATTTGTTTTGTCGTCATACATTTGTTTGTCCCCGCGTGCGGTATTTATTCTGCAAAGCCCGAAACTCTCATAGCATTATTCTGATTTTCATAATTTCCCTTTCCCGTGTTTTTTCCCCCTTCTCGATGGCCTTGGATGGATAACTCAGCCTACGGTCGCATTTCCCGGCGTACCTTGTCGTTCCTCTGTGTCGCCGTTTCTTTTCTCTCCTTTTTTTTCAGTGCATTCCGCTTCCTTCGCGTCCTTGTGTCCAGCGGCGCGCGGCGCGCTGTAGTGTGTAGTCATGGCTGTTTGTGTTTGTAATCCAGTGTAGTCTCGCCACTCCTTGGTTTTATTGTGTGTCGCACTTTGGCAAACGTTGCTACCGGGCTGCTACAGTAGTTTGGCGATTTCATCAATGTGTGTAGATCCGAGAGCAAATGTTGTTTTGTTTTCTGGCGTGCATTCGTTTGTAAAATTAGTTCATTAAATGTGAACGTCGCCTTTTTGTCAGTGTTGCATGCAATCGTTATTTCGCAGGCCGAGTGCGCTTTTCGCTGTGTACTGACTTTGTTATTCCTCCGCAGGTGGGTCAGACGGCCGTGATGTCACCCTCCACACCTCGCCCACTTGGCCCACTTGCCGTCCTACCCTGGCCCGGTAAGTATATTACTCTTATTGCTTTGTTTTATTGTCACGATGTTTGAAAACTCGCGCATCTTATTCTAATTTCGAAATTTCAAGTCGACATGTTGCTCAAGTTGTACCACACGTCTTCCTGTCTCCTCTCCCACCCTTTTCCACCTGCGAATGCTTAATTAGGCGGTGGCGTGAAAAATATGATGTGTGCTTTTTCATATCACATCCGTCATTTCTGTCCTCGTTTCTATTTAATTTTTTATTTATCGTTTGATGAATATTGAGCTGGGGGTGACAAGGGTTTTCGTGTTCTTCGGTTCGGGTCTTGCTCTAACTGACGGTACTTGTGAAAAGGTACTTCCTTTCGGCTGGCTGGGGTACATTACATGGGACGGTTACGCACGAAAATTTCTCTTTCCTCAACTTCCCTTATCCTCTATCGGAAGAACCCAGTTCACCCAGTCCCCGTGTTGTTGGATGAGCTGAATATACTTTGATAAGCGAGTGCTTTAGCGACACGTAATGCATCGCGATGGCTTTGCCGCACGGGACTTGTGGGGTTTCTGCCCAGCTGGTCGATGTTGGGGCGCCCGGGACGGGCGGGCCGTGACGCGCCACCCGGTGTGTTGCGCCCGTACTGCCGTACTTCGATTATTATTACTATTATTTTTACGAGCGGCACGTTTTACGCCGCACCCTACCCTGCTTGCGGTCTAGTATTCATTTTTATCTTTACTGCCGAACGACATGAGCGCGTCTTCCATTTATCTTTTTTGTTTTTATTATTTTTGAAATTTTACCTTCGTCATTTGATCTTCACCGGACGGACGGCAGAGGGAAAATAATTTTGCTGTAAAATTTCCGCGATGAAAGAAGTTAAGGTCAAGCTTTGTTGCACGTGTACCCTTGCCGTCCCCCGTCCCCTTTAAATTTGCAAATGTCGTGTCGACGCGCGGTGACCGTGAACTCGACCGGAGTCATTATCTTATTTCGCTGTTTCTCTTCTTTTTTTTCATATCTTTGTATTTCTTTTTCTCCTTGGTCTGCGACTGGCCGAGCGAGTTGCAAGCCGCTCAGAGAGCGCGGGCACGATTGTCTCTCGTGTGTCTCCTCTCTTAGGGAGGGGCGGAGCGAGAGAGCGCAGTTTGCGGAGCTGTAAAACAGGGACAGGATGGCGTTTTGCGTCTTTTTATCCGATCTGTTTACGAGCCTGGCTCGCTACCGCTTGCTTGTCCGTAGCGGCCCTGTCCACTGCAAAATAATTTTCAAAAACAAAATAGGAAAATGGACCTAAAAGTTCTTAAAACCTTATATTCAGTTTAATGTCGACTTCCCAGACACAGTCGTCGCGCTGCAGATAACGGGGCAAAAGATACGCAAAGAATGCAACGAAGTTGTGTGGTGCGTGTCGGAGGGTTCGAGGGGGTCTTATCATGTCGGGGGCAACTTTTTGTGTGTACACGAGATGCTTCTCTGGCCCGACGGGCAGCCGGTGTGATTGTCGAACGTTGCCTTAGAGTGGTTTTGCCTTTGGGCTGCACCCGTACCTGATGAGCTCAACGCTAATAGACTCTTTGTCTGTCCCGCTCCCCCCTTGCCCTCTTTCCAAAGAATCATTCCCCAAAACACACAACATTGTTGAAAAACCTACATCGTGACGCCCTCTTTCTCTCTGTTAATCTCTTTCGCTCTCACTCATTTCATTATCTCACTGGTTGAATACAATTTAGAAACAAACAAAATACTACCAACCAAATGCGCGCGTTTTCAAACTTGTGCTTTTCATGTGGTCATTGCCGCGTTGTGGTAACACTTCTAACTTTTTCTTGTTTCTTTTTGTGTGTTGCAGGGGATAAGATGGTGGTGGGTGGGTGGGCTCGGTGGGTCGGCGTATGGCAGGCCCAATGAGAGAGCGCCCGGGGGACAGGGAACCCCCTGCCAACAACTTCGAATATGACGAACAAGAGTGGGACATAGGCATCGGCGACCTCATCATCGACCTGGATGCCGATATAGAGAAGAGCAACGCGAGCGGGATGGCGTCGACGGGGGGCGGAGCGGGTGCCAAAGGCGGCAGCGCCAAGCTGGCCGTCGAGCACTCGGCCACGGTCGACAAGGGCCTTAAGATGAAGATCAAGCGCACCAAGCCCGGCACCAAGACTTCCGAGGCCAAGCACGAGATAGTCAAGTCCAACGAGCAGCACAACGGCAGCGACCTGGGGGCCGCTGCGCAGGAGGCCAAGCAGGGCAAGCACGGGGCGCCGCCGGGGAGCGGGAGCCCGGCGTCGTCGGGCAAGAGGGGCTCGAGCGGCCACCGGAGGGACAAGGTGAAGGACAAGTCCACCAAGCCGAGCAGCAGCAGTAGCGGCGGCGGCAGTAGTAGCAACAGTAGTACCAGCAGTAGCAGCTCGTCGAGCTCGAGTAGCAATAGCAACTCGACGCCGAGCATGACGGCTGCCATCCTCCCCGACGTGAACGGCGTGGCGATCGTGAGGCCGCCCAGCGCCGCGGCGTCGCCGCTGACTACGGCGTCCACCACGACCACCACCACCTCCCTCAACAATGTGACGGCATCGACGGCGACGACGACGACGGCGTCGGCGTCCTCGACGACCACCACCAACTCCACCTCCACCACCTCCTCGTCTTCGGCGTCAGCGTCGTCGTCGACAACCACCTCCACCACCTCCTCCACCCCCTCCACCACCGCCACCTCGGCGGGCTCCTCGACGCCCGGGCAGGGCTCGCAGGCGCCGCCGCGGACGGCGGTGTTCACGGGTGCCTCGGGACCCGGGCCACCCCTCACCCCTAGTAAACACAACGACGCGGACAGCGACCGGCCGCCTCCCGCCAAGAAGTCAAAGGCAAACTCCGAGCCCAAGGTTAGTGCTTCAACACTTGTCTGTCTATATCTTCACTCGACTCTTGCAATCGGACGATTAATTACTGCCCTATAAGCCTTTCAAAAGTTGGAGAAGGGAGTAAGATGTAGTACTTTTGAGACTATTTTAACTCACTGTCACCAACTGTGTACAGCAAAAGGCGTCAACCGTATATTTAACCTTCACCACGTCAGAGATTCCAAATTTTCTTCATCTGCTCCCGATCTGTTTTTGGACAATCAAGTTTTTAATCGTCCAGAAAGCAGCTGGATGGAAATGCACTCATGATAAAGGGGACAGAACACGCTCGCTTGTCGGTTTTAATAGGCAGGGATGAAAATGGAAAGACTTTCGATCCGGGCTACCTGTATTTCGTGGATCTCGTTGTCCCCCACTCTACGCCGCTCTTAAAAGACTCCCTTGTTTGTGAACAATGGCTCACTCGGTTGACCCCCTCCCTCCCCGGACAGGCGGGGCGGGTCCGCTTGGTCCGTGGGGGCTTGTCGCCTATTCCTATTATGGGGGTGGGTGGTGGCGTGGCGTGGCGCGGCGCGGCGCTCGACCACAGCATGCATCAAACTGATAAGGGGCAGCGTGGGCAGTAACCCCCCCCCCCCTCCTCCCCGAGGAGAGAAGGGGTGCCAACTGTGCGTTTAGCGCCGTGCTCACGCGACAGAATGTGCCGTTGTGCGCGCGCGGCTGTAACTAGAACGGAAGGGAGGAGGGGGGGGGGGGCAAGCACACTGCGGTCAATGCACCGTCACAAACGGGGCGGCGGCGGCTGCTTGTAAAGAGCGCGCCTCGTAGGTCCGAAGCTCGTCGTCGCCGTCCACTTTTCCCGCTTAGCAGCGCGTCGACCTCACGAGGGGCGTAAGCGCCACTTTAGGGGTTGAGGGGGGGGGG